AAAAGGGTTAAGGGCAAAAGAGTAATTGGGGGGCGGTGACTAGTAAAAGGGGGGCGGTGAATAGCGATTGAGAAAAATAAATAGAACCAATAAATAATCAATAAAATTAAAATAGTACAAATAAATTTGAAGCAAATGGATGGCGTAAAAAAAACCCATGTAAATGAGGGTATACGATAGGACAGCTTTGGTAGATAGCAACACTGCTACTGCCCCTCCTCTCTCTCTCTATCTCTCCACATTTGTTCTCATTTTCTCTCTCTAGAAGAATGCTTTGAATATTTTCATGGTTTGGTTTTATTCTTTCTCTTTATTTTCTCTCTCTCACGCATATTCACAAAGGGGTTTTGATTAAATGTACAAGACCTGCTTTTTGGTGGAGAGAAAAGAACCTGATGCCCCATTTGATGTGTGAGTGGGTTGTGCTATTTTCTCATCTATTTGCATCATTAAACTCCATCTCTCACTATCTCTCTCTCACACACACAGAAACACACATTTTGTTTTTTGTAAGTGCATCACTTTTACTTGATTTTATGCATCAAGACCTCGTTTTTTTTCAGGCCCATTTTGGTTTTCTCCTGCTGAGAAGGTTTGTAGAATGGATTTGTTATTTTTTTCTAAAAAAAAGTTGTGCCTTTTATTTATTTATTTTTAAGTAGCTCAGTTTATCCCTTTGATTTTTCCTTTCTTGGTTTTGATCTTCACGCCCTTCAAGATTCTCTAGTTCACTTCTATGCTGATCCTTGGCAGTCCTATTTATTTTGGTGTCCAGCTTTGGTGTTATTTTAATTTGCTATTTTTCTTGATGAGATTTTCACTGGTTAGTGTGTTTTTCCTAGGTTTCTGCTCTTTTTCAGGTCTATTGTTCATTCAAAACGGAAGGAAACTTCGTGGAGAGTTCTATTACTATTGATGTGGATCAAAGATTTGATTTTTATGTCTTTGAATTAATTACTTTTTCCCCCCATTATTCATCTAGCTGGAAAATTTCCAACCCAATAATTTGTTTTTTGAACTCAATTTCATGCCATACTCAAGAGTCTAAAACAAACCCATATCTTTTATTTGGTTGTTATCTTGAATTTTTCCCATCCATAGCCTCTGATCATGTTTTTTTGGAGCTTGATATTACTCTCTTTGAACAGTTTCTCAAAGTGTGCAAGTGCTTAGTTGTTTCCCATCATAAAAAAGCTTCATCAAATTTTATGTATTTTTTGTCTTGATTTGCCCACATAAAATAACACTTGATAAGGGTTTGATAATTACTCATACCCTCACTTTCCTCAGCCAGAATTTGATCAAATGATCAGATAAGAACAAACAAAGCTTCCAAATCACTCATTCCAAACTTGTGTATTAAATAAAAAAAAAAAATAAATTAGGGGTCTACAATCTACTATTTGTCCCAAAGCATTTATGGGTCTCAGTTTGCCTTTTGGTCTTATTGTAATATATTTTTCTCCTTTTTTTTGCAGGGATTGTGGATTTATGAATAAAGGTTCAATCTTTGAGTTGGGTTTTTATTATATTTCTTGATCTTGGAGATTTTTTAGGTAAATTTCAATTTTATTTTTTTTCCATAAGAGGCCTCCTAGGCTACTGTTATGCTGAAGGCAAAGTGTGACAAGTTAAGGCCGTGTTTGGACAAAGGGGATATTTTAAGCTCGTGTGAATGTTATACAGACAGCACAAGAAGGAAGGAAAAGTGTATCAACAGATGTTATCCACTGAAAAGCCTCCACCAGGTCCTTATTCTGAAACCTCACAGCTGAAAAGTAGCTGCAAAAATCTCATTACCAGTGATGAGAGGTCTTTTGATAATAACAAGGTAGATCTGTTCGAATTTTGTCAAGGCCACATTAACCAAACAACTCCCAAGTTCTCCATAAGGTAATAACTTTTGAAACTCTCTTTGTGACTCTGAGTTTCCTTTTATTTATGTATTATTAGTTGTTGTTGTTTTTTTTTTTTTTTTTANTGCTTCTATATATTGTTCTTGATTTTACTCAAGGGTTTTCACTCCAACGTTTCAAAAATTCATTTTTTTTTTGGGTAAAGAGATAAATTTGGTGAATTTTTCAGCTAATTTTTTTTTGGTTAAATGATTCTGTGTGTTAGCTGGTTTGGTGGGTCTTCTTCATGTGTGAATATAGCTGTCGTCTTTCCATTTTTTTGCTGACCACCTAATTTTGGGTGTCCTATTCTTTTGCTCATTTTATGCAACTATATTTGTGGAATCAGACAATTTCAAAATTTAAACCTTTTTCCATATTATTTTATTTTCATGTCACCTTCTTCATGCAATCCTCTGCCAACTGCTGGAAATTTGTGCAGCTTTAATTTTTTTTGGAAATTTGTTTAACATGAAGGTATTTTCATTCCACCATTTGACTGATTCTTGAATTTGGTAATTTTGTTGATAATAATATATCACCTTTGACTGATCTTTGAATTTGATAAATCATTTGATATCAGTCCTTTCACATGCTTTCAGAGATTATGTTTTCAGTTCACGCGCCAAAGATATCGAGACCCACTGGCCATTTTCTCCGAAAAATCTGCAACTTTGCCTAAAACTCGGTGTGAAGGATGTGTTGCCGCCTTTCGAGGCTCTCGAATCCGTGAGAAACCCATCATCAGCTGCCAAATATGCCGATCAAGAAAAGTTCTCTGACTTGAAGGATCAAAAAAATTCTCATAACCCAGCTAAGAACTTCAGCTGGATCGTGAAATCGGGAAAAAACGCAGTTGCCGAACAAAAGTCGAACGAGGATTCTTTAGAAATGACAATGGGCTCAAAAATGTGCCCAGTGTGCAAGATATTCACTTCCTCTTCAAACACGACTTTGAATGCTCATATAGACCAGTGTCTTTCTGTGGAGTCGAATTCTAAATGGATTACGAGCTCGAGAGTGGTCAAGCATAGAATCATCAGGCCTAGAAAGATGAGATTGATGGTTGATATTTATGAAACAGCTCTTTCTTGCACTTTGGAGGATCTTGATAAAAGGAACGGGACAAACTGGGCTTCAAACTTGAGTGATAATAATATTAACACTGATATGAATCTTATTCATACTAATAATCCTTCTTCAACAAATGGTGAGGACATGAATGAAGAAGGTGATGTGTACTTTGATTCCAATGGCACGAAGCTTAGGATTCTTTCGAGGTTTAGTCATGTGAATGTTGATTATAATAAGAATGGAGAAGATGATCGTGGGACTATGAAGCTGTTCGAAAGAGATAAAGCAAGCAAAACTGTTCTGGACAAGAAAATGAAGAAGTGTCTTGTCCAAAGACACAAGCTTTTAAAATTCCCTCGTTTTGAACACAGACGATTTTCTCCCAGGCTCGAACGCAGTTCAGAGGTATGTTAGGGTTCTTTTTGAGTTCTTGGGTCCGTTTGTCATTTTATAGTATCATTTTTGAATTCTGGGTGAATTGTTTGTAATGTTTTAGTTTTCAGTAGATTGATGTTAGAGATTGAAGATTGTTTTTGTGAACTCTTTCTCACTCTCAGCAAAGCAAAATTACTGTTTTTTTTCTTCCTTTTAAGTTTTGATAATTTATAAATTACATAGGGGTATACTGCATTAGAAAGGACGAAAAGAAAACTCGTTTGATGTTTCTCATGGGAAGTTATTAATAAAATGCATATAGATCCATAAATAAAGTGCTTCTTTTATCTCTGTCTATCTCTTTGTTTCTTTTCTTTTTTCGAGTGTCTGTCTGTAAATTCCCTTCGGTAGTATAACTTAATTGCATATAAAATGCATAAAATGCTTCTTTACTTTTTTCTTGCTTTCTTTTTTTGATTTTGTTCGATATGATAGTAAAATTTGACCCTTGGTGTCATTCACAGGTTAACCATCCAAGCAAAATCACAAAGAAACCGAGAATAAAAAGTCAATGCCAGCAGCCTTCCCTAGACGATAATAAGCTCATGAAAAGAACTAATAATAGCTTGAGATTCTCAGTTTCATCTAATGATAATTCAGTTTCAGCCACTGATCAGACTCACAAGAGAAAGTTGAAATCGGTTGATGAATACATGCCATGTCAGACAAATCGAGCAGGCTTTTTCTCCCAAGAATTTGGAAATGATGATGAAGATGAGCAAAATCATATGATTATGGTCCCTAAGACCAATTTCAGGCGGCTAAATGAAGGTATTCAGAAGGATTTTGTCGAAAAGAAACCCGAAATTCATCACATGCAGAATGCAGAAAGAAAATCTCGAAATTTCTCCATCGGTCGATCTAAGGTTTCAAAAATCTATGAAAAGAAATGGGGATTCAGATTCTTGAACTCCGATGAATTAGACAGAAGCACTTATTCAAACCACTCGAACGAGTCGTCCGAACTTAATAGCCAGCTGGATATTATTAATTCTTCCTTGACCGACACTAGTCCAGCTGGCACGCCCGAATCTACAGAGGAAGTTGAAGTTCAAGACGAATTTGTCCACGAGGCGAATTTGGAAATCTTTGGCAAATCTTTGGCTTACGAAGAGCGTGAACAAGAGATGTTAGGCAATTACTGTAATGATGTCGATTCAATTCCCATACCAGGCCCACCGGGCTCATTTCTGCCGAGCCCAGAACACATGGGCTCAGAAGAAGTCCAGGGAAATTCATCCTTAATGAATTTTAAGATACATTCTCTTCAAGAAAACTGGCGCGAATCTGATTCGCAGAGTTCTGATAAGTCATTCATATTTGAACGTGTTCCTGTAGAGGCCCAGCTGAAAATCGACAGGCCCAAGGCGAATTGTGAGTATTCAGGCCCATCAACTACTACTAATCATCCTATTCTTAGATTGATGGGAAAGAACTTAATGGTGGTGAATAGAGAAGAAACTCAAAATCTACTGTCATCGGTCGGTAGTCAGAATGAATATCGAACCTTCGGTCATAATTTATACCGAGGTCCTTCATTTTTGGACTACTCGAATTTTCATTCCAATTTGGGCTTTAAAGAAGCATATGGTGAAGTTGGGGGATTGGATTACATTTACGGGTCTAGGCAAGCAAGGTGTTATCCATTTTCTAATGGAGCTCGGAAAATGGTTGAGAGTGCGAATACTATGCAGATGCCTTTTAGAGGGAGTAATGGAAATTCGGTTAACTATAATTTGTACGTGCCGGAAGATCCAAGTGTAGTGATGAATCAAGATTCTTCGCTAACTGCATTATCTTCGTCCACAGGTCACGAAAGATCATCTTCTTCTTCATGCTTTTCTCATGGCTTTTCGTTACCTGCAAACTTTTCTTGACGTGTTTCTTTCGTGCACNATATACCAAGATAAAGTGTAATTTGGCCATACAAAACAGGAGGGGCTAACACCCCTAAATGATAATAGCTACACCACAAAACTCAGGACAAAGACATGTCTTTGGACTCGTGAGTAAGACCAGAACTAACGCAGTACTTGGGCTTATAACGTAATTCTTGATAGTGCAACACTTTTGATTACACAGGTGCTAGTTAAAAGCCGAAATTCTTAATAACGTATAAGAAAAGTTTTTGTTTTTTTAATTATTATTTCAAACATTTTAAAAAAAGTTGCATTGTTTATATTTAAAAATATGATTTTTTTCACTTGTATGATTTACCCATCCTACATTATAATAGTTTTTCTAATTCATGTGTAATGTATTTATAGATATTTTTTTAATTGATATATAATTTTAAATTTGTATTATTTTATATATGCAATATAGATATCAAATCGAAACTCGTCAAAAGATGATTATTTAATATATTATATATGAAATCTGATAATAAATCTATAAGTTATTAATTTTTAAATATATTTATAATTTAAGTAAGTTAAGTGTTTTATAATTTTAAAGTTCTAATAACTATAGACAAAATCTAGATTTAGACTTACTAAAACACCAAAAATTGACGCACAAGATTATGAAGCACAAGAGTTTGGCTCATAAAATTATGAACCACCAAAAATCGACATGTAGGATCGAGACATTCTTGCTTGAAGAATGTTAACATCCTGTATTTTTCTTTCTTTCTTTTGTTATATTTTATGTTGACATGTGTATTCAAATCCTATAATTGTGGAATTATTGTTGTACTACTAATTCTTAGAGACGGCCTAACCATTAAGTCATCGACCAGTTATATTTATAAAAATTCATATGAAATGTCATATTTTTGTTTATATTTTGTTTTTAGAGTATGACATTTCAAATTGAAATTATGCATATAATATGAAATGTCATGCTTTTGTTTATGTTTTGTTTTTAGAGTATGACATTTTCATTTATAAGTATACATATTCATTGCAAAAGTAAGATTGTCTAATCAACATATTTTTGTCTTGAATGTCATTAATTTTATGTTATAATAATAATAATAATAATAATAATAATAATAATAATAATAATAATAATAATAATAATAATAATAGTAATAGTAATAGTAGTAGTAATAACCATTATTAGCATATTAGTATCAATATTTTTCTATTCATGATAAGATCACTAGACTTTAATATTTTTTTCCCATTTGACAATATGGAGTCATGTTTGATTAAACAATCTTGTGGTATAGTTATTTCTTTATTCAGGGTGTGGTTGTATACATATATATCCACTCAAAATGAGTTTTTTTGGTTAATAAGAGTTAATTTTGAAAAAAATAATACGATTAGTTGTTAATGAATTTTTTATATTAAAATAATATTTAAATTAAAATAATTAAAGTTTATTTAATGTAAAAGTATGAGAAAGATAGTGTGAAGTGATGATTAGTTAAAATTATGTGAGTAGATAAATAGTAAATTAAAGTTAATGTGATGTGTAAGAATAATTGGTTAGTATTATTTAATTATATTGATAATATTGAAGATAATAGAGCTGGACTAAAATTGAGTTAGATTTTGAGTATGATTTGAGTATTGATTGAATTCTTTCATATACAAACACACCCTTAGCCTTTTGAACATTATCAAGATTTTAACTTTAGCCACAGTAGGAAAATATGTAAATCGAGACTGAAATTGATAACTTCATATGTATGAAAATCTCCGGTAAATCCATTATTGCATGTGAGGAAAATTGGTCATCCAAATGAACTCCCAATAACTTCAATTTTTTTTCCCCACCTGCATAATTTAAGGTTTTGCAGTGTATAACATATTAACATGTGGTGGGGTCTTTTTTTTTTTCCTCCAAATTTTTCCCAATTTTCATTTTCTCTCATTTTTTCTATTGCTTTTTTGGTGGTTGTAAATATGAAAGACAAAGTTGGATTTGCAGTGCACGAAATTATAGCCGTTTTTCAAAAACAACGTTATTCAGGTAAAGAAAACATAGAGTTGATGCATGTTTTAAACATCTATATATATATATATAGGGATTGGTTCAAATGAGGCCGCTTTTTAAAATGAGGACATAAGACTAATTTTCAGCTACAAGATTTGGTACATCATGTGAGGCCAAGATTTACTCTTTTTTTTTATTATTTTAATTCTTTAAATATTATTTTGACCCGTTGACTCCGGCGTTGACAGTTGACAACTAACCTTCCAACTAGCTATGTTAGTTCTCTGTAGTTGCTAGGTTAGTTCTTTGTAGTTGCTAGGTTAGTTCTCTATAATTGCTAGGTTAGTTCTATCTTGTTGCTAAGTTAGTTCTATCTTGTTGCTAAGTTATATCTAAGTAGTTGCTAGGTTAGTTGTCTCTTGTTGCTAGGTTAGTTCTCTGTAGTTGTTAGGTTAGTTGTCTGATGTTGCCAGGTTAGTTGTATCTAGTTGCTGGGTTAGTTGTCTGATATTGCTAGGTTAGATATGTCTAGTTGCTAGGTTAGTTGTCTGTTGTTGCTAGGTTATTTTTATCTTGTTGCTCGGTTAGTTATGTCTAGTTGCTAGGTTAATCTGTTTGTTGATACCTAATTTTGGCCTCGCCTATTAAAATATTACACGTGGATATGTATTATAGAATTATTTTAATTTTGTGCTCTAAAATAATACCGCTTGTGATAATATATGTTTGTATATATATATATATATATATATATGTTTAATGGGCATAAGGAGATAAATCTGAGGGGTGTTACTATTATTTTTTCTCTCTGATCCGAAGAAGCAGGCGATGCCTGGAGAATTCTCTCTCCCCCATTTTTATCTTTTCATTCAACAACAAAAGAGGGGGCTTCTTCTTTCATTTTTCCTTTCAATGATATACAAATTCAACAGAAATATACTTCATTCAGTCAAACACAAATATGGAGTATATTCAATACGTATACAGATAACACCCTTCTTTTCTTCTTCCCGTGCAAAGAAGAATAAATACAGAAAAATACACACAAAAATTACCAAAAAAATACATATAAAAAAATACATGATAAATCCCTCTGAACCCCTCATGTTGATCAAATTTCGAGCATCAACAGTTTGGCGCTAGAGGAAGGGCGGGCCGTAAATTTTTCGAGTTAAACTTCGCCGCAAAAATGGCGACATATCAACCGAAAACAAGACTACACCACGTTAGTCTTCTTCATCCCGTACCCTTCATTACCAAAACATCGAAAGATAGAAAAGATGAGGACAGCAGCTCCCTTTGAACAAGATAAGGCCATGTTGTCCACCCCCATACTTCCTGTAAACAAGAAGAAGCCACGTTGCCTATGTGGACCTGGGTCCTCAGATAAAAAAAGAACTCTTGACCGTCGGCATCATAATCGGGTCAACATCTTCGCCGTCTACTTCACCATAGTTAAACTCAAACAACAAGCAGAGAAGAAAGTCACCAATCAAAGAGATTGGTAACACCACCGCTTGCAAATGGCCGGTGGCCCCACCGAAAAAAAACAGTCAACAAAAATACACGTTGAAGCTGCCACAATAGTACGCGTGGACGTTGCCGCCCAGTATTAAGGGCCCAGTTCATCTTTGTCCTTATCCAAAGTCTCGAGTTTTGACGGAAACCGACTTCGACACCTCGGGCATTACTGACCTCAGTCACCGGGGCCCGATCTCACTGTCGGACCAATCTCACAAGAAGCTCTCGACCTCGAAACACCGACCTCAAAGTCGGGTCGACATTGCAACTGGGCCCGACCTCCCGGCGAGCCGTTGGACCAAACTTTATCAACCGCCCGTCAGAACCGAAGTCGCAACAGACCGAGTTCAAACTTCACCACAGACCAACTGGGCTAACCTTGAAAAAACCCGACCTCAAATTGTTGGACAGCCAAAGTTGCAACTCGGGTTCGCCGAGACCCGACCTTGAAATGGATCGAAACATGATGTCGGTCACCGGGACCCGACTTTATTTTGCCGGGATCCGACATCAATTCTCCGACCTCGAATCTGTTGCCAACTTCATCAGGCCCGACCTCAATATCGGGCCGACATAGGCACCTCAGCTCAGAGAACCGACCTCGTAAGTCATCGAGGCCCGACCTCCTTTATCCGACTTCATTGGCCGACCCGAGCTGAGTTCGGATCTCCAGCCGACTTCACAACACGACGGGCCTCAGAAGCCGCCGAGGTCACCACTGGCCATACCTCGGCCAACTTCCACTTTCTGAAGGGAGACTACTGTTGCCGACTTCTCAGCCGTTGGACCCGACCTCATCATAACTGGCGGACGTTATCATGGCCGAATCAAATTAGAAGCAGAACTCCGATTTCAGATCGAATCCGGCTATTAGATTTTCGAAATTGCAGACGGACTAATTTCGATTTTCAAATTTGGTGATAAATTTTCCCGATCTGCACGCTGAGATCAAGTTATCGTCTTCGATCTTCAATAACCGACATCAATCTTCGAACTTCGGATCTCTGAAATTACTGATGGACCGACCTCTTCGTGTCCAACCGACTTCACAACAACTGTCGATTCTCGATTTATCACCGGAACCGACCTCCAAAATCATAATCGACCTTGCAGATGCCGACTTCGGCGACCCAGATCTCGTACACGCAATCGATCTCGCGACCACCAAACACAATTGAAAAATATTGTGACAGAAATCTGTAGAAACAAAAATTTTGGACTGCTGAGTTAATAATGACGTCCGACTTCAATTACATTTGGGCCTTACTCTAAAATCGGCCCAAATATAAAAACAAAGGAAAAAAAAGGGAGAGTTGGGCTGGAGACAAAAATCGAGCTGATTTATACAATTCCACATTAGTGGTTAGCCGAGGCCAAGGTCATTCACACTGTACCGATTTATCGCTCACTCATTTCTGGAATTAACTTATCTATGACAGATCCGAGCTCATTTCTTAATATCAGGGCCAACTTCCCTTACATACGACGGGGTCAAATTCATTTATCGACACCGGAGCTGACTTCATTCATCAATGCTGGGGCCGACTTTATTTATCTACGCTAAAGCCGAAGTCACTCATCTATTTGTGACGCCGATATATTTTGCTCGCCGTGAGCCACGACTCCGGCTGAGCCAACGTCTTATTATTGCTCGCCGTGAGCCACAACTCCGGCTGAGCCTACGTCCTATTATTGCTCGTCGTGAGCCACGACTCCGGCTGAGCCGACGTCTTATTAGCGCTCGCCGTGAGCCACGACTCCGGCTGAGCCGACGTCTTATTAGTGCTCGCCGTGAGCCACGACTCCGACTGAGCCTACGTCTTATTATTGCTCGTCGTGAGCCACGACTCCGGCTGAGCCGACATCCTATTATTGCTCGCCGTGAGCCACGACTCCGGCTGAGCTAATATTTATATTTTCTCGTCGTTGAGACTCTGCTCTAGCTTAGCCCACACTGGTTAGGCAAAGTCAATAAGACCTTTTCGGCTGGAAAAAATAAAAGAGCCGAATCTCAAAAAATAATTCGGCCAGCCGACTCTCAAAAAATAAAGTCGGCACGGCAAAAGCCCAACACATCCAAGTCTTGAAGATGATTTGGTGAGGCTAATGCCCGTCGGAAATAAAAAATACCTACGTTCCTTTAAAAATTCAGCGAGTAAAATAAAATGCTGAATATTCTAGTCGGAAACAAAAAAAGTCGACGTTCCTTTAAAAATTCAGCGAGATAAATAAAATGCTGAATATTTTAGTCGGAAACAAAAAATGCCGATTTTCCTTTAAAAAAATTCAACGAGATAAATAAAATGTTGAATATTCTAGTCGGAAACAAAAAATACCGACGGTCCTTTATATACAATATTCCGATAAGGCAGAGCACCTACTGGCAGACAAAGTCAGACTCGAAAAAATATCGAGGTAACATCATTTTTCGTGCATTAATCATTTATTGCACGTACTCATCATACATTCATACGCGCGTCATACATGCATCTTGACATAAACATCAAAAGTCAAGCGAAAAAATATCCTTAAGGACCCAAGCTGGTAAGGCGCACTGTAAGACCTTATCGGCGGGGATCATTAAATTTCTTAAGGACCCATGCTGGTTAGGCAAAGTCAATAAGACCTTTCCGGCTGGGAAAAATACAAAAACAAAATTTTACACCGAGTTCTTCAGCTCGGTAAAATAAAATAATAATAATAATAATAATAATAATAATAATAATAATAATAATAATTCAGCTAACCTACGTCGGCACAGTAAAAAAAGCCGAATCTCGAAAAATAATTCGGCTAACCGACGTCGGCACAGTAAAAAAAGACGAATCTCAAAAAATTAATTCGGCTAATGCCCTACACATTACATCAAAGATCGGGAACACATTACCCGACCGATGAATAATTTAAAAACTAAAAGACCAACGACCGAATACCAAATTATCCGACCAGGTCCATATTACAAAGAAACCAATCACAAATAAAAAATCGCGATGTCTCAATAAAATCGCGAATCCAGTAACAATTCCGGGGGCCCGAGTGCCCACATAATTCCATATCATTATTACCACATTAAACGCTTCGCGTTCCACGCAAAAAACGCGAAAGACGAGTACTAAATTACCCGACTAGGCCATCCAGGCCCAATTCAAAATTAAAGAAAAGTTTACTATCCACGTCATTGGCTCCATGGGTCTCAAATTACCCGGCCAACATCGATACATCATTTATCGCGGCCAAAATTGATTATACACGCGACTTCAGAACAGTTCTATTTAAAACATGCCCTAAAGTCCGGGGCCTACTGTTGATACCTAATTTTGGCCTCGCCTATTAAAATATTACACGTGTATATGTATTATATGTATTATTTTAATTTTGGGCTCTAAAATAATACCGCGTGTGATAATATCGGGCCCATTAAACATATATATATATCCCCAATGATGGACATCAGGAGATAAGTCTGAGGGGTGTTACTATTATTTTTTCTCTCTGATCCGAAGAAGCAGGCGGTGCCTGGAGAGTTCTCTCTCTCCCATTTTTATCTTTTCATTCAACAACAAAAGAGAGGGCTTCTTCTTTCATTTTTCCTTTCAATGATATACAAATTCAACAGAAATATACTTCATTCATTCAATTTACACAAATATGGAGTATATTCAATACATATACAGATAACACCCTTCTTTTCTTCTTCCCGTGCAAAGAAGAACAAATACAGAAAAATACATACAAAAATCACCAAAAAAATACATATAAAAAAATACATGATAAATCCCTCTGAACCCCCCATGTTGATCAAATTTAGAGCATCAACACTGTTGTTGCTAGGTTAATTCTATCTTGTTGCTAAGTTAGTTCTAAATAGTTGCTAGGTTAGTTCTAAGTAGTTGTTAGGTTAGTTGTCTGTTGTTGCTAGGTTAGTTTTCTGTTGTTGCTAGGTTAGTTCTCTGTAGTTGTAAGTTAGTAGTAGCTAGGTTAGTTCTCTGTAGTTGCTAAGAGTTGGTCCCATTTTAAGAGCTGGGCGCATTTTAAGAGCTGGTCCCATTTGCTCCGCCCTATATATATATATATACATATATATATATATAAGAATAATCATTTACCAAAAATAGTAAATTTTATTATTTTTCTTACTATTTTCTTTAATAAATCATACAACATTAAATGTGGCCTTAAATTTCGGGTTTTAGTTCATTTTATTATTTAAAAATTCTAGGTAAGATCTATTAAGTGTGCATGTTTTTGTTTTTATTTTTATTTTTTTTCTTAGAATCAACGAACAACATTAAAATCTCGGTCTCTATATTTATGAAATCTCAATTCAAAAGGTAACAAAAGTTTTAGAATCTCGATCTTTATATTTGTGACTTTCAAAATAATATACTGACCCCTAATAATATTCTCTAAATATCATCTTCCACAAATTATGATAATTAATTTATTTGGAATGCATAATAATAAACTTGGTAATATTTATCAATCTATTGTTTTATTTTTCTAAACTCGATTTCAAAAGGTAAATAATTTTCAAAATTTCAGTCTCAATAGTTGTGCATTTGAAAAAAAATATTTAATGATATATATTATTTGTTAATTGTACACGATTTTAAAGACTCCATTATAAATTGTATGTTGATATCCAAATCATTTTATAATTACAACCGGCTTTGTAAAATCTCCTTTATGATGAACAAAAATATGTAAAATTATTATTTTTTCCGTTGGACTTCTAATGAAAATAATAGCATTGCCATATCCATTGGAATTTCCATTGGTCCGTTGGAATTTTATAATTTTTTTGTAACGTAGGACAGAGTCGATTATGCCTAACCAGATGAATTTTTACCGTTGAATTATACACCCAAACCCAATGAGTGTGTGCTAGGAATTAGGAAAGATTTTTGGGACAATATAGAAATTAAGCAAAAGACTAAATAACAATTTCCAAATGCAGTGAATCTTTAGTAGAGTAGCAGAGCAAATTGCTGTCAATTAGTAGCTTCTCTCCACCACCAAACATTTTTTTTTTTTTCTACTCCTCTTTTGACAATAACCTTGTGGGCCCCCACACACTATATGTTGCTCATGAAGAAATAAAAACTAACACATAGACCAAGTCCCTTGTAGCATCCATGTTAAGAAAACAGAGAAAATTTGTAGGACCAACAAGTTAGTTAATTCTTAATTCCTTACTTTCACAATCTATAAAAACATTAAAATTCCACTTGCTAGTGCTAAGGGGGATACTAAGCCCATGTACCTACTTAAAATTCAAGATACACCAAGTTATTTCTGTACAAAGATGAATAAATAACTAACTATCACAAATAATTACCATCAACTGCAAATGAAAACTTAAGGCTCAAAACTGTCAAACACCAGCTTTTTCATCCTCTGACATTGAAGGAGGCAGCTCGTTTAGATCGAAATCGAGCATTTTCTTACTCTCATGAACGGGGCCAACCTTTTCTAACGGCTTCAAGTTGCAAAGATTCAATCTTTTCCTTCTTTTCACGTTCTTCACCGGCCTTTTCAGCTCATTCAAGCTCAAATGCTCGGAATTTCTCGATTTCAACGTCTTTCCCTGTCGCCCTCTTCTTGCCTTCACCTCCCAATCTTTAAAACATCCCTTTTCGTCGTTTTCTTCAAATGTGTCATCTGTTTTGCGAGCCGACGAACGAGAAAAAAAAGGGCTTTTGGGAGGGTTTATTCCTCTCCAATCTCGATCCGGATGACACCTCATGTGGCCATACAAAGATTTCAACGAAGAAAAACTGCGATCACATACCACACAAACCGGTTTCTTCTTGATTATACCATGTGAATCATCTTCTTGTAAATTCTTGATCTTAATGGTTTTTTTCTTAAGGGGTTTTTTAGGTTTGAGTTTGAGTCTCTCCTCCTCGGCTTTTCGAGAGTGTACTCGCATGTGACCGGCTAAGCCTTTCTCCGAGTCGAAGGCTTTACGACAAATTCGACAAGATGCCATTTTTTTGGTGTTGTGGCAAGAATTCTTGGATATGTGATCATGGGTTTTGAAAAGATCCAATCTTTGGACTTCTATGGGGATTTTGAGCTTGACCCACAAATTTGCTTGTCTGAAAACAGGGGAAGGTTGGAGCTTTTCTTGATCTTGATGATTTTCCATGAACATGTAAGAGGAAAAAAAGAAAAAAAAAAGGACAAACCCTAGCTGTATTTTTTTGCTTAATAAAAATAGTGTGTGTGTGGGTGCGTGTGTTTTGTAATTGGAGATTGAAAAGGCAGGCAGATCAAGTTAGAAAATTTTTGGAGAAGATGGCATATTGGCATTAGCTAGCTTAAGGAAAAAAATAATAATAATAAAATAAGGTGACTGGAAAAAGTATATATAATTCTTGACTTTCAGAAGAGTAAAAAAGAAAAGAGAAAAAGAAAATGAAAAGAAAGAAAACAGATCGGTTTAGAAATGATCATAGAATGAAGAACAAAGATGGTGACAGGAAGTTGAATAGTCAGTTCTTTTTTATACTCAAACTGCTGTGTGCGAAAATTGACTGCTTTTCTCTCTGATTTTAAGGCGGATCCATCCTTAAGGTACTTTGAAAATAAAAATACATATTTATATTATTAAAAGTTATATTTATGTTTATGTTATTTTTTTAAAGTATGAAAAATTGTATGCGGGTATAGTTTAGTTTGTGTTTGATAGACAAATAAAGTAGCTTATATCTTATTTGGTTAATTTATAAGTTTCATGTTCGTTTGGTAGGACGAGTTTTTTAAAAAAGTTCGAGCTTATCTCATAAGCTTATTTAGGTAGCTTTTCAAATAAGTTCGTTGAAATTTTTATTCAACTAGCTTATCAGCTAATTTTACCAAACACAAGCTACTTTTTTATCTATAAGTCATATGTTATAAGCTATAAGCTCGAAAATTACTTATAAGCTATTAACTAACTTATTAAATATCAGCTAATTTTACCAAACATAGCCTTAATAGTTATATATGTTTAATAGAAAACTAACGCTATAATTTGAAGTATTATTTTACTTTTTCCATCCTTTAAACTGAACATAAATAAAATGACCAATTTAGTAATTTATCGGTCACGTGCATATTAGCCTCTGACATAACAAATTGGACTTAATCGCCCAAAATCACGAAGATGGATTGAGAGTAAAACTAAAAGCAGATTTGGAGTGACAGAATAACAAAAGGAAATAATTAAATCGATGAAAATGAGGTAATTAACTCAATTGTAGCTTATATAGAGTCAGGAGTGTGTACATTTTCTTTAAAAAAAACTTGTAAAAATTGAAAATACAAAATGTAAAGACGTTTATAGAATGAAATCTGCGAGCATCCTGCGCTAAATTAGTGAAAAGTAAAACACTAAACACTGATTATTACTTCAAAGTTTACTTATTTTATATTTGTCTAACCATTAAATCGACATGTTCACACATATACATACTTTTATTAGAAAATGTCACACTTATAAAAATAACATAACAAAATATTACACTTGATAGTGTAAGCATACATTTTTGTTCAAATATCGACTCACTTAACGATTATGTTGTCTCGTACAAGAATTTGTGAAAGTTTTAATGGGTGGAAAAATATTTAACTGTTTATATCTCAGTGCTGTCAGACAGACCTAACGGTTAAACAACCATATTTTTTCAACAAATATGACTAGTTTCAATTTAAAATGTCATTCCCTAAAAAACAATATAAACAAAAGTATAATATTTGATAAAAAATGTATAACAGGTGGAACTGTCTAATGGTTAGACCGTTACTGTTACACAGGCAGGCACAATCATACTTTTTCAACTATATGTATAGTTGTCATTATAAAAAAAAAACATAATTAAAAATATATCATTTAAAAATATAAGTATGAAATTTTTATTAAAATATATGACGGATCAACCTAACTACACAAGAATATGTGCATTCCAACTTACTAAATGTTATTGTTTAGAATTTTATTTGTGTTGCATATAGCAATATAGCATATGGTGATGATTCAGTCAAGCTTTGAATGCATACGTACAATTGATAAATAAATGAGCATAATTTCTTGATCAATTGCTAAAAACAGATGGGCGTGAGGGCTAACAAATAGGCGTGTTCACCTGTCATATATTATGAATAAATATATTTTTACTATCAAATGTCATATTTTTATTATATTTCTTCTAAAGTATGATATTTTATAATGAAAATGAGTATAAACAATGACAATGAGTAGGTCGGCCTTATGCTATTGTCTAAATTGCAAATAATAGGCAGAGTTAATAGTATTACTTATCCTTAAAAAAACAAGTCATATATTATTCAAAACAGAATTATCAAGCAAGGAAGTGAATCAGGCACAGGCAAAAAAAACTACACCAACATTCATTCTTTCCCGCTTAAAAGAGGCAAGATATTAAATGTTGTGGAAAAGTAGAATGCTACAAACTTTCATGTATTTTTTAGGGGAAGATGGGGAGGCATAAATGAGGAGCATGGCCATGATTTGAAGCAAAGAACCAAACTTTTTAATGCTCACCATTTGAAATTAAAAAAATTGGAATTGAATCAAAAGTCTTACTTCATAAATGTTGCCAAAAAAAAAAATGAAACCTATTTTTACCTGGTACTAATCGATAGCCATATTTTTTTTAACAGATATTTTTAAACTGAAATGTCATATTCTAAAATACAACACAAACAAAATCACGATATTTAATATCGTAAGTATGTATTTTTGTTTTGACAAAAAAAAGTATGACGTAACAACTCGTCTGATGGTTAGACGGTTAAGCTGTCCACACAAAAATTTGTGTTAGAAAACAATCTAAAGGCATGAATATTACTAAAGAGCTAAACCAATTTGATAATCATTAACTTGTTCAAGTACCAAAATGGACCAGACCTACCACAATTCGGGCCTCAAAGCCCGAAGCCTTTACTTGCAAAAAGGACCATACATACCACAATACGGGCCTCAAAGCCCGAATCCCTTGAGACGGAGAGAAGCTCCTAACTCATGAGCAACAAGTCACATATAATTGGAAGGTTAGGCAAAACATCATAAGTTCAACTTATAAGTCTAACTACAGCGAAAAAAGAAGTTCGGGAGAAAAGCCTAAACGAACATCATCCATCACTTCACAGCCGATACACACTCTAGACAAGTGGTGAATGTTTCTTTTTTTTTTCGGTCAACTTGAAATTAGGATACGGAGAATTCTCTACAGTTCTCTCTCTAAATCTAGCAACAACACACGAGAAAAAAAATAAAATAAAAATAGAAAAAGGAAAATGCCATACTCGAGAAATAGAAATCCCAAGAAACTCCTACGAGTTGATCAATCTATTAAGGTGGCGCGTGATGTGATGTCTTGTACTCGGACATTTCAGCTTTGTACCTTTCCTTGTCTCTCAAACCTTTGTCCTGATATACCTGAAAAGCATTATCATCACAAATAAAGTATTATGTCAAAATATATAAATAAACAATGCATAAGAACAGTGGAATAATTCAGCCATAATCCAGTACAATAGTAAACGAANGAAAAAAAAAAAAAAATCTCATCCGTGTGCATCTAATTCCTTTTCCACTTAACCCAATCAATATATTAAAAAAAGAGTGTTAAAAGAAGGTCAAAAGTAATAATAGCTAGTTGTATTTGAATGCACCAAGTAAAGATGAAGCAAAAATCAGATTACCATTTCAATTATGTCCGACAAATCAAGAAAACATATTTTCCATTTTGATAAACGACAAAAGTACAAAACCCAGAGGCACCAAGTTGATATTATTAGCCAATCAGCAGCCAAAATCCTTCAAAGCAAAAGTAATCGCAATAATTTCCAAAGCACCCGAAGTTTGGAGCACTTTTCAAGAATTTGAAGAAAACCGACCATCTGCTCCACAAGAAAAATAACACTTCAAAACCCTCAATTATTTCTTTATCCTCCCTTTTTTTTTTTCCAAAATTCCCAAACTTCTTCTGAGTATTCTCGTAAATACCTTAAAACCTCAGGGACACTTTTTAAATTTTCATAACTATCCAAATATATAACAACAGAGCAAATACAAGTTTTTGAACCAAGTGCTGAAAATATGATACCTTTTTCTCGGCCTCTGTCAATCTACCCCACAACTGACCAATCTTTTTACTAATGGCTCGTTCTTGGCCATGGTACATTGGCCTTAGCCTGTGGTACTGCTCGGCGAAAAAGAAAGTGTACCCACTTCGGTTTCTTTTTGGGTGAGCCGGGTCCCGAGCCATCTGGTGCTTTCTCCTCGAACGATGATGAACGGGCTCAACATAAGCACTTAAACTCATCGATGAGTTTGATGCCTCTGGGATGTGATAAAGTACACCTTTCAAATTCTCGCCACCAAAATTAACGGTCACCATATAACCAAAATCGAGTTTTCCCTCGATTGTTCCTGTGACAAAGCTGCCATTTTCCAATGTGGGACTCTCTGCACATGCCACTGATTATCGCAAGTTAATTTCGATATTTTCACACACACACACACACACATACTCCCTCCTTTTTAAATTAGATGTCGTTTTGACTTTTTTGATTCATCCATTTTGCTACGTATCTAGACATTAAAAATATGTCTAGATACGTAGCAAAATGGATGAATCAAAAAAGTCAAAACGACATCTAATTTAAAAAGGAGGGAGTATTATATAAGCACACTAGACCATGTTGATTTTTTTCAATTTATTTTGGTGATTAAAAATAACTAAAATAAGCAATGACTAAATAAATCTGTTGATTTTTTAATTTATTTTGGTGATTAAAAATAAATAAAATAAGCAATGCTTGAATAAATCGCACAATCCAAAAGAAATATTTGGCAAAAATGCAATTTTAGTCTTGTTAATTTAATGCCATAGCAATTTTAGTCCCAAGATTCCAACTTTTCGCCTTTTGGTAATGTGATTTAATATTTTGCTGCAATTTCAGTCATTTGACTGAAATTGCAACAAGATTTTAAATTACAGACTTACACTGCAACAAAATTTTAAATTATAGAGCTTAAATTGCTAATCATAAATCTATAAATTTGGGAATTTGTTGCAACGTCAGTCCTCAAAATTGCAAAAGACTAAAATCGCAGCAAAATATTAAACAGACGAAATGTTAGAATCTTGGGACTAAAATTGCTATGGCGTTAAACGAGCAACACTAAGAATGCAATTTAGCCGAAATATTTTCAATAAACTCAAGAAAACCGTACGTAAACAAGCAATGGACAATCCACCTGTAAGCTGAAGCTGATCTGATGTGGCAGCCCCATCATCGGGAGTATGTGGCGATGCTGATCCATCAGCACTCCAAGTTGCTTTATTTTATTAAAAAAAATAAAGGGTCTATTAGCTATTATTCGACAAATGTAAACTCAAAGCCATATAAAGGCACATAACCATACTGAAATGTTTTGATATGTACCAGGAGATGATATGTTGGGTTCTTCTCTCCGAAAATAATAAACCTGCTCGAAATGAAAAAGCAATGACAGATAATACTTGCGCAGGACAAATGAAGCACTCGTGATTGTGGAAGGGAAATTAAAGGCTCCAGTAACTTCCTTCCATCTCCGATCTTTTATAATCTGTACATGTTAAAATGCAAGAGTTTGAAAAGTTAATCAGAACAAGAAAATTAATATCAAAATGGACATAATTATTCAAACTCCTAATCCAAGAAAAATTAACAAGAGCAGTTTAATTGTCCTACTTCAATTATAAAATCTGCTCTTGTTATATTTTTACAAAGAAAAAATAGTATAATCATCACCACTTGAAAAGAAGGGAAACTATATATTATAAACTATTACTTCAAATTGAAAGAAGGGGATAAAGACTACACAAGAAATGATCATTCCGTAAAGTTACATGTTATTTCCACCTCTTAAGCATTTATTTTTGCTATAAAAATGGAGAACTTTCTGAAATAGCGGGTGGTAAATAGAAATACACTAAAACCAAATTGTTTTACAATAATGGATAATATGTCCAAGAGGGCCTTCTTATGGCATTTGAATTTAATTGTTATTTTCTTATTCTTTCAAGTTCTTTTTTTAACATTTGCTACCCAATATGCAAACAAGCAACACATGGAGCCACAATTAGCCAATTTAGAAGAAAACGCACCTTTTCAATGCCACCTCGAGAGGTCACTTCTAAAAAGAGACGATGTAAATCCAATTGGTTTCCTCCTAATGTTGGAACTCTACACATAAGCAAAAGGAAGAAGAGCAAAGATTGGTAAATATCATTGTCTATAATCTATATATATGACAATCCTCAAAAGTTTATATGAATGAAATAAGATGGGAGAATCATATACAACTAAACATACAGATACAGGTGAGATTTCAATGAAAAAATAATGATACAGTGCTGGAGGCTTACAGATTTTGCTGCTATTAACACCATGAAATACTAGATAAGCAACTATGATGATCTAAATATTGCTTGCTAATGATGATTAAAAATAAATCAGACAACGGATATCAACAAATTCAAGTTTATGTAATTAGTGGACAACAAATTTCTTCCACAAACTCATTTACTTCTTTAATGTCAAGCTAACTATAGCTTTTTTTAGCAACTTTCTCAACAAATATTGCAGCACAAAAAAGTGAAAATTCACATAATCCCAAAACTTACAATTATCTATGAACAGATCAACAAAGTATAAAATCTAGAACAAAGTAAACATGTGGCTCGTCTATAACATTAGACATTATGTATATAGCAGATGTGAAGAAGTATTACTCTAAAAGGTGAAATTATTTCTTTGTGAAATTAGTCATGTAGCATTAAATTGAAAGGTGAACCAAAGCTATTTCAACAAATACTTTAAAATCTAAAAGTTCTTTCCCCAAAGTGCAGTATTATTTGCTAAGTGTAGCAAGGGAGTTTCTATATTAGGGGCATACAGGAGTATTTGCAATCTCTACCAAGCATTTTTTTAATAAGAGAAATGTCAGCAAGAAACTGGGAATTCTTAAATTCACAAATATTGCAATATACATATGCAGTCGAGCTAGAAGCTAAGAATCACTTGATGTTTAGATTTGCGAACACTCTCAACATGTGAAATAACTCAGATCCAAGTAAAAAGCACGAGCAAATCTTCAAAAGTACAAGCAATATAGACTAGTTTTCAAATTGCTATTTGAATAAACTAAGCTAGTTATCAAATTCAAATATAATACATTATTCTGCTCAAACACAAAATACCTGTACATTCTACAAACTAACTAAAAATAACAATTCCCAAAAACACTTGCAGAAACTCAAACACCAGCAACAAAACCCAGCAAAATGACAAATAAAAAAAATCACCAAACCCAACAACATGCAAGCTACACATCCAGAGCCCAAAGCTCGAAATTTTCAACCAAATCCGAAAGAGCCCACAAAAAACAACGCAATAAAAAAATCAAATCCAAAATACCTGAATTTAGTGCCGTAGAAAGCGTGAAAAGCTTGAAGCTTGCTCAAGAAAATATCTGGGTTTTGGATAATCTCCTGATACTCGGCCTCTGGTTTGGGGTAATTAGAAGAAGAATACTTGGAAATAGGCGTTTGAGGTGGGTCGTTGGACATTTTTATGGTTTGAGGTTTAAAAAAAAATAAAAAAGAACAAAACTTTAAGCCACAGAAAAATTGCTAAAGCTTCAGATTAGAGATTTGGGACTGGGAATTATAGGTGTATAATCAAATATTTCAGTACAGAATGCATATATATGCTTTTTTGTGTTATATTATATACAAAACCTAGAGTAATTTAAAAGCTAGGGTTATTTAAAATTAAATTAAATTTAAATCCATTATGCTAGTTGGTCCGGCAATTTCTGTTCCCAATTTCCGAGAAAGGGAAGGAAAAAAGAAAATTTGACTCTCCTTTTCTTTTTTAAGCACTGCCCTTGATATTTTTCAATTTTTATAATTTGGCACTAGTCATGGTGGCATGTGTGATTAGAGATGTTAAATGGTCCTTGATTTGACGGGTCGGTCCATTTAGCCCAGAAAAAAATAGAATTATGGTTTTTTATTTGCAGCCCGTGTAAATTTGAGAATTTTTAGCTCGGACCGTTTAGCCCGAAGCCCGCTAAGGCTAGTCCGTTTAACTTGAGTTGGGTGGTGTATATGTTTTTAGAAAGGTAAGAAATATGTCTCATGATTCCTTGTATATTACAATTAGAACGGCTAATAAAAAATAAATGAGACAGAGACCTAACACATAGAATATATTGATAGAATATAAATTCAACAGTATGCTATATTGTCAAAATTCCCGAAGCATACCAAATAACTAGACAAATGGTAGTTATAAGTAATAGTTCGAACATTTTTTTTTCTATTAAGAGACAATATGTTATTTAAGAGTTTGTAATGTGTTCATACATAAAGTGTAGTTGTATATATATAGTGGTAAATACTAAATAGCCGTTCAAAAAAACCGTTAACTAGGTGTTGTATATTATTATTATTATTATTATTATTATTATTATTATTATTATTATTATTATTATTATTATTATTATAGCCCGATTAGCCCGCAGCTCGCTAGGTTTAGGGTTAGGTCCTTTTATTGGTAGCCCGTTTAAATCCGGACTTTTTAAGCTCGGACCGTTTAGTCCGAAGCCCACTAGGGCTAGCCCGTTTAACATCTCTACGTGCGATAAGCCCACTAGGGCTAGCCCGTTTAACATCTCTACGTGCGATGCACGGGAAAACAATATTACGATTTTATTATAAATTAAATATATATATATATATATATATAACATTAATCATGATTTATCCATTATTTTTAATTAAACCGGGTTGGACACGGACCGACCAGATGTATCGAGAACCGTTTATAACCAGTCTAGTTCGCTTGAATAAAATATTTGCTCTTGAATCTATCAACACCAGTCGGTTGGACTGGTAGGATCAATACGATTTTCTAAATAAATTTTATTATATTTAAAATTATTTTTAATAAAATTAAATATTTAAATAAGATAGAGATTTATAAATTATTTATCAATTAGTTTAAACATTTAAAATTATAAATTGTTTAGATATCTAAGTAACACATTTTATTTAAATTTATTACAAAAAGTACTATATCTATATATATATATATATTATAATATTTATAAATTAAAATATGAACAAACCACAAATGATTTAATATAATAGCTTGATCGTTTCGATAACGTTCCAATTCTGAAAACCTTATATTTACTGTAATAAATATTATAATAAAATATTATTTAATTCACATAAATATTAATAAACTGATATATAAATATTCATTAATCATTAAACATGTTGTTATAAAAGTATTGTTAATACAATTATTTGAAGTTTGGACTACATCACATTCACGTAATAAAATATTTTCATTATAAAATTTATATTTAGGTTCAATAATCGATTTGGTGTGGTCGAACTGATACATAACTTAGTCACCTGGGACCAACCAAGTTGTGTCAAGTTTTTTGACTATTTTAAATATCATCTAAAAATAATTCAATCAACCTAGGCAGTACCCTAATTCAATCACTCGATTGATCCGAAAAAATTTTCTTATTTTCTTTAAATATATTTAATTTTATGAAATAAAAAATTTTATGATTCATATAATAAATGTCTACACCAAATGATAGTATATTAAGATTAATAAATTATATATCTAAAGATGAAATAAATATTTTTACTTTATGCATATTAATAAAAAATAAACATAATAATTTTCAAAAAATTAAGATTAGTTGATTGATTATGCAATTCAAAGAATATTTTTAGCATTCAATATTTTTTATAAAGGTACAAATATAAAGACCGAGATTCTAAGACTTTTGTTATATTTTGAATTGAGATTTTATAAATATAGAGACCGAGATTTTAATGTTGTTCGTTGTTTCTAAGAAAAAAATAAAAATAAAAACATATACACTTAATAAATCTTAGCTGAATTTTTTAAATAATAAAATAAACTACTAAAGCTCAAAATTTAAGGTAGCATTTAATGCTATATGAATTTTAAAGAAAAAGATAAGAAAAATAATAAAACTTACTATTTATAAGCTGCATTAAATTCTGACCTATTTTTTTGCTACTATTTTTGGTAAATTATAATTCTTATTATATATATAGATATAGATATAGATTTAGACCATATTTTGTTATTTTATGAGTATCTTTCCTGTTTTTTTTAAAGACATCTTTAATTGGTGGTATGCTCGACTCGAGTCCAATTTGTTAACGAGCCAGCTCAAACCCCAGTTTGAGTATCAAAGTTCAAGCCCATATCATTTACAATTCTACTCATTTAAGATATTTATAGAGAAGTGTGGACATTTTTCAATGTTTACCAGATGAAACGACACATTTTCGAACATTTTTGACACGTTAGTGCAGCTAACTTTAAGCTACTTAAATTCAATATATTTGATAATTTTCTAGGTTTTTCATTTATGAAAAAATAAAATCTTAAATTCGATAGATAACCAATTTAATTTTCTTACATATTTTACTTACGGACATACATTACGGGCGGATAGTACAAAAAATTTATAGTTGAAACACAATATTCACTCAAATCAAACATTTGAAAGATTAAATTATAAACTGATAGAAAATTAGTGTAGCTACGCACTTAAAGAAATGTTCTGTAAACTAGGTCTGTTGTTAAAACCCCATTAATTTTGTTAATTAATTTATATACTATATAAAGGAGTATTAGAAGCTAAATATCAAGCTAAGTTTATAGACAAAATGGCAAATACTATCATAATTTTTACGGAAGAATCACATTATGTAGAATAATAAAGTAATAAATTCAATGGATAATTTTTTTACACTCAGTTTTGGTAATTGACGCATGATCGATTCTGTTGGCATTTGATTTATTTCTTAAAGAAACCAAATGGTAAACATGGTCGATCTAGTCCACTGGACTATTGAGTTTGATATAGCACGTAAGAGTAGCTCAGTAAACTGGTGGCAAATAACTTGGTTTTGAGGATAAGGTAGCTTGGTTTCCTACGTGTTAAGGGTCCGGCCCAACAATCTTATTAGTAGCCCGGTTTAGAGGGCAGCATTGGCTCGGGAGTATAACTATTATAGCTCGGCCCGATAAATATGTTGGTAGTTGTTTAGCCAAATGATCATGTCAGTAGCTCGGTCGAAAGGATGCTATAACAGCTCGGCTAAGGGGGTTGTTATTAGCTCGGCCATATAGTTCCATTATTAGCTCGGCCATATAGTTACATTAGAAGCTCGGCTAAGGGGGTTGCTATATGAGCTCGCCAATGGACTTCAGACTCAAGGAGTTGGTCGAAGGCCGAGCAGGTGTGACGGTTATAAAATTAGGACTCGCACGGAACACGTTTAGGATCAGGATAAAAAAGGAATAATAGATCCAACGGAAGAGAAACAAAGCGTGTTCGGGAAGCTAATAACGTCATATAAATAAGTAAACAAACAAACCCTAAATTCTATACACAACTTTCCTCTACCTGCTTTGATCTCATACTGACTTGAACTTCGGAGGTTTTACCGCCGATAACACCTCCCGGCGTCTTTGCAGGTCTCTGAGCGGTCGGGGAGAAGAGGGAAGCCGGTTCAAGTGCACGAGCACATCAGAGTTAGAAACACCAATTTTCGTTTTACGCTGATAAAACATTTCATATCACCAATTTCCTATAGTTCTTCTTCTTCCATTACAGATGGTGCTTAGATGTGGTATAGAGGAGAGGTGATAAGTTTGTTTGAAAAGGGCGCTTGGTTTGAATTTTTTTATCAAAATATTTCGATTTTAATATTTCAAAAGTGAGTAATACTCCATATCCCACAATTGGTATGATTGGTAATTTTTTGTCTTTATCTTTTCTATCTCACAAACCAATTAGATCAATCATAATAATGATAGTGAACTTTTGTTACTAGCTAAACAACCTAGGTCTAAAAATTATACAATCAAATTGTTATTATGATTATTTTCAAACTCAATTCAAGTTTCCTACATGATACAAAGAAAATAAACATAATTGTAATTTCATATCATATTTGAAAGTTTCCATATATTTAGATTGGTTTTCGTTTCCTTTTTTATTAGCCTCATTGATAGGTTACGATATTTAGTTCACTGTTTGGATACTAGATTGAACTCAGATTATTAATAAATATTAAACAAATATAATACTTGTTACAATTCGGATCCGTGGCGCAATGGTAGCGCGTCTGACTCCAGATCAGAAGGTTGCGTGTTCGATTCACGTCGGGTTCAAATCCCCCGATCTCATACGGGTCCATTCTTTTTTCTTTTTCACTACATTTTTATTCTTTCTGCTGTCAATCAAGAACGTGAAAAATCAATATTCCCATTATGCATCGATTTATTTTACTTTAAAAAATCTGTGGAATTTGCTCATTTAATCCCCAAGTATTATTAATACGTGAAGATATCTTGATCTTTTTATTATGGATATAATACTTAAATAACTTTACTAACAAATTTATAATTAAAATATTAACAATAAATAAAAGAAATAAATAACTAAATTAAAGATTCTAAACATCTTATTTGTCCTTCTCTCCATCAATGTAGCATTTTATTTTGAAAGTATTGAGAGTCTAATCGTTAGGGTATGAACATTTGTCAAAAGATATGAGAGTCTAATCGTTAGGGTATGAACATTTGTCAAAAGATATGAGAGTCTAATCGTTAGGCTAGATTTTGTGATCTCTCTCATTTTATCCTAAATTAAAAAAAAAAAAAGAATTGAAACACTAATTTGGATAAGTATAGCAACCAGATACACACACCTTCATGATACAACACAGCTTCATGACACAATGAATATACATTTCATTTTTATCCAAACAAGCTTTTCACCAGTCTGTAGTGTACTTACTCTCTACTAAAAGATGTATAAGTGAAAGAAGAGCCAAAAAACCAAAAGCTTCATCCTATATACACACAAAACCCTTTACATTCCCTGACAAACTCCTAAAACAAACCTTTAAACGACATAATCGAGATACGAATACTGCCTTTGCCTCCCGAACTCGATAAAGCTGCTATACGTTCGGTCCCACACCCCTATGAAAAGTGTCTCTCCATCATCCTGACTGAAAGATATTCCCGAAATCTCCCCGAAAAAATCGATTTCTTGCTCTTTTTCGTATCCGCTATCAACCTCGTAAATGTGAACGAAATCTGCTGACTCAGCTGTGGCCATGAATCGGCCGTCGGATGTGTAACGGATGGATCTGACGGCTCCCAGCTGTCCACGCACGGTGGCCGTCGATTTGGAGAGATTCCTGATGTCCCAAATCCGGCAAGTCCTGTCTTGGTTGCCCGTGGCAAAGGTTGTCCCACTTGGATGCCATGCGGACGCGAAAGAGTAGTCCGAGTGTCCGCGTAGTGTAGCAACAGGCTGCGAAAATTTAGAAAAAATGTTACGAATTATTCTTCGAATGCACGGATCGTTTTTTTGCGATTATCCACCAATTATCAGTAAATAACGAAAAGAAATTGAAGTTGCTCGTATATCCGCTGAAAATGGGTTTTTTTGGTTAATTTTGAAAAAGATGGTATTTTTAGTTGTTCGTGTGATTTGGAGTTTATATTGAAATAATATCTAAATAGTTAAAGTTGATTTGATGTGTAAGAATGATTGATATGTATTATTTAATTATATTGATAATATTGAGGATAGTGGGGTTGCGTTAAAGTTAAATTAGATTTTGAGTTGAAATTGAATTTTTCTGGGTTAATTTGTAAATAATCACCCCCTAAATACCTGTCCAGTCCTAGAATCCACCAAAAGGCCTTCAGGATCGTCTCCAACAACTATGAGAATTTCGCCACATGGACTTAGAGAAGTATGCTGCAAGAGTAAATGAAAACAACCAACAAATCAGATGCGAGAGAGAGAGAGAGAGAGAGAGAGAGAGAGAGAGGCTCACATTGACTGGCCAAGAAAAACGAAAATGGCTAGCTATTTTGAAATTCTCCACATCGAAATCTCGAACTCCGCAGTCATTATTTGAAGCTATAAAATGAAGTGCACCACTGCAAGAAAAGAGCCAACTTAGTTGAATATCTTAATATACGAAATAAGTTTAACTAGGAATAATTACCGGCTAGACGTGTATATTTCAACAGCGTTTGTGATGTTATTTTCATCATAGGCTGTCCTGGTGCAGTATGCAATTCCAGGCCTATTTAGATACTGTTCAATCCATAAATCGAAGATGAGAAATTTAGGATAATCACAATTCACAAGCAACATTTATGGTCCAAAAGTAAGTCCAAAACTTTTTATCAAATCAATCTTTTCAGGGCTTCCAGTTATTGAAGAGAAACTCGTACCCATATGAGGAGGATTTTTTTCATTTTTTTCACAAACAATATCAGCTGATTCAAATACTTCAATCCCAAAGGGATTTTGTTTAACTTGATGAAGCTATTTCAAAAGGCCAAGATGAACTGCTATACAAAATTAAGCTTATGAAGAGAGAAGAAGAAAAAGAAAAGAATATATACCTTGCAGATAAGTTGTCCATGAATACCTCCTATAACAAGCAGGTTATCTTTCGCTGCCAGTGTGCTGACCTGGACCTTCGTAAATCCCTCCATCATACTTCCAGGGTGTTTCTGCCAAAAAAAAAAAAGAAATTAAAGTTAACTGTAGTATAAATTGCAAAAAAAACACCCGTAAAGCTTCATATTCAACCTAGTTATATAAAAAAAATGAACTCTCAAAGTACAAATACTTTCTTGAGGTTTACATTTTCTTAAATTAATATTTCCATATCAAGGATAGTATTTCTATGACCACATGAATCAAGTGGTTAGTTAGTATACAAGAAAAACACATGAAGTTAAAATTATACAAACTTCAAAATCATTAACCTGGGAAGGTGCTACATGCCCTGATAGATTAAGAATTTCTGACTTGATGCATGTTAACGATGACCAATGCATAACCGAGTAGTGTGACAAGAAGTAAACATCATGCTTGGATGTAGCCCACACCAAATTCCTCAACTGCAATTAAAAATAAATAATAAATAAATAAATACTGCATTCATCATTATCGTGCTGAATGTGAACGCCCACAAAACGTTAAATTGTCGGAGTTTTGAAAAGTGATAAACTGAATAATCGACTTTTATGCGCGCACATATTCATGAGAGAATATCTCCTATTTGCCTCAATTCGGATGGTAAAGTAACTTAATTGTATGACCTGAAAATGCATAATTGTCGGTCTCACAGATCTCGAGTTCCGCCTGAATTCATAATACGAGCCACTCTTGACAGTGGATTTGCATTCCTGTTCACGACACGAAAAAAATGCAACAAAGCATAAAAAACACAACGATCACAAAAGAAAAGACCAAGAGAAAGAAAAGGGGGGGACACAGATATACACACCTTTTCTGATGCCTGCCCAGATTGAGGAACGTTTTCATAATTCCTATAGTGTGTTATTCTACTCTTTCTATACTTATCCCTTGTCGTGCTAAGCCTTTCCCAGGGTATCCCTTGGATATCTCTCCCCGCTCTAGCTTGAGCTGCTGTAGTATCCTGTGTCTCATTATCCTGTAAAAAATATGCAGAGAGAGAGAGATAGAGATAGAGAGAGAGTATAAGGGGGTGTTTGTGTATAATTTTTTTCAATTCATACTCAATCCATACTCAAAATTTATCTCAGCTTTAACTCAGCTCCACTATCCTCAATATTGTTCATATAACTAAATAATATCAAGCAATCATTCTTACACATCACGTAAATTTTAATTTACTGTTGATCCACTTTAACCATCGCTTCACATACTTTTACACCAAATTCAACTTTAATTATTTTCTTTTAAATATTATTTTAATATAAACTCAAAATTCTATTAACAACTAACCAATCCAACTTTTTCGAAATTAACCATAGTTAACCAAAAAAACTCGTTTTGGGCGAATATATTTGTATCCAAGCATGCCCTAAGCAGTCATTACAATTGAATAGAAATAACAAGATTCCTATGCAACTGGAAACATGAAAAAAAAAAGTGTCGTAAAATTAAGTTAAACATGTTCCAAATCATGATCAAACCATGGAGCCAATTTCATCCACGTCAGAGTCTGAGTTGCCTTCATCTCTATAGACTACTTCATCCATCTCGTCTAAGCCTTGCATTACGTATTCTTCTTCTTCCATGTTTTCTTGTATCTATCAAGAAAGAGATCATTCAGTCAATTGTCGGTCTCACCAAATAAGTGGAAACTCGTAAATTAGCAAAAGTGCATTCTTTAGAGGGGGAGCACACATTGAGGAAATTCCCACCTAGTGACTAGTAACATCACATCAACATAAAGTTGGTATAAAGAAAAGCAAAAGCACTCAATCACTCTCCCAAAGGGAAATCATAAAAAGAACAACAGATCGAATATACTCGATAGGAAGCTGTATAAGCTAAAAGAAACACACCTCAGCATACATAACACGAGAAAAGTAGAAAGGCAACTATAAAGTACTGCGACCAAACCACAAATTTAAAAGAAAAAAAATATGCAAAAGTTATCTTCTACATGTTATGTTATCCAGATTAACTTGCACAACACTACCACTCACTCAACAAACCTCAAAAATTCCCGAATGAAAGCGGGGAAATAGAAAAATGCAGAACTGTAAAATTTTAAACCCACTTACACAAACGAATCAAGAAGGGAAAACAAAAAAGGTAAAATGCAGGAAAACTGAAAGAATTTCAACCAACTCTCGGAAGAGAAACGCATACCCAGAAATTTCTAGAACCCACAGACAAGTAGACAATCTCTTTACAGAAGCCAAATAAACCATAACAATTCACCAAGACGCCTTGTTTCCATTCATCCAATCAGTCAATCTGAAAAAAAAAAAGATAAAATGGGCCCTCACCAACATGCATGATAACGAAAATTTGTGCCCAAATAAAGCACGCGAGATCAGACAACGACCTGCCCAGAAACAGAAAGGAAAATTTCCGAAGCTCACCGGTTTTGGTCGCGAAAACCGCAGCGAGAGGTACGATTGAATTTTATCGATTATAATAAACAAAATCAACAAGATTGCAGATGATCGAGAAGCAAATCGGCCTATGACATGTTTGAGCTAATATCCATTTACTGGTGTTTTTTGCAGAGAGAAAACGAAGGATCGAGAGAGAACAGGAGGAGGTCATGTTATATTAGCATTACGTAATTGCCATTCAAATTTGGAACAATTTACTACCCTGCCATCCTTTATTTGGACCAATTAATAAAGAGATTAGAATTTAGAAATAATTTAACTTATATAAAAGCCGATCCTATTTACTACATTTAGTATTCAGAAAAATTAACTGCATTAAATGACATTACTATTTTGGTATTAATATTTTATTTAATTGATTTATTTATCTATATATATAATAAGATACCATTTTTAAAAAATGGCAGGTCAACTATATGGTCAAATTCTCTCATCATTAATTACTTTCCATTAATTATAATTTATTTATTTATTATTTCTTAGAAAAAACGGTCCTTAAAATGTGGAAGTTGTTGCTTTATTTTTGTACAGAAAATCAGGCTTCATTATAGAAATTTGTTCAATTACACAATGAATTTGCTATGATATAATTATTTTTTATGGAAACTTTTTTTTTAACAGAAAAATATAACATTTCAATAAGATTTTTGATTTTTTAAAACTGATTGTTATCACGCTATGAAATTGAACATTCCAATATACCTTAACAAAATATACACGTGTTGTATACATCAGTTAATAGAAATATCCTCATATTTTTATATATATGTATGTAGTTTTTCTATTACCAAATTTAGTTGATAGTTGTTGTGTTATGGATTTTTCATAATTGTTACTTGGTTGTTGTGATATTTAGTTTGGTTGGTGTCGCAAAAATTCTAATATATATAATAACAATAATCATTATAATGCAAATTAGAAAAATATTGATATTAGAAGAGATTGAGTTTATGGCTTTTCTTAAATCAAAGTTGTTTAATTAGTATACAAAATTAAATTCTAAAAAAATATATGTGTATATTTTGTACATTATTTATACACTATTTAATTTTAAATTTATTTACATATTTTAAATTGATTACTTATGTAAATAATACCAACATGCATTAAATATATTTCATTACATAAAATAAAAAGAACAAGAAGACATGCAACTTCTATAACTTTATAAAAAATAATAACATTATATGGCAACAGAGTTTATAGTAAAATAATAATTGACTATTATATAGTGAACAATAATAAGTAAAATTATTATTTTCTCTTATATCAAGGAATAAATATATATAATAAAATTAAATTTATATTAGTATAAATGTGTCAGTGAAATAATATATTAACTATTTTACAAGTTAGCCCTAACATGCTCACGTTTAATATTCTGACTAATAAAACAACGCTGATTAAAAGACGTGAAAAATAGATTACAATCCTATTTTTTTAGACTTAACGGTGATTAAAAGAGGTGGAAAATGGATGATAATCATTTTCTGACTTAAACGGAACTTAACGATGATTAGAGGAAGCGGAAGCACTTTTGAAAGAAGCTATTCAAGAACAAATGAACCAGTTTCTACTTCAGGAACAAGCATAAAGAAATTGTTCACTTTTAGCTTAAAAAAGGAATCAAGCATCTTGGATTCAAATTATGCAAAAAGTCTTTCTTTCTACCGAAAAAAAATAGATGGAAAAAAATTGCGTCCAATAGGATTTTAACCTATACCAAAGGTTTAGAAGACCTCTGTCCTATCCATTAGACAATGGACGCGGTGGAAAATGGATGAGAACCCTTCTCAGACTTAAACGGACAGAACCTATGAAAATAATTCATTTAATATCTCTCTCGTGCATCGCACGGGGTACGTACTAATTAATTAATATAGTAGATAAAGTGAGTTAAAATTAGAAAGCAATTATTGGCTAGAAATTAGAATTTAATTTTGAGTTTGTGAGTAAATATGAGTTAAAATATAATGATTAAATTTAATGTGTGTAAAAGTAGTAAAACAATTATTGAAGAATGCTAGTTATAAACATGTCAGTGGATTTGGTTGAATTTTGAACTAAAATATTGTATACAGTTACATCTAAAAAAATACATATCCGGCAAATCAAAACCTAGCTAAAAAAATTTATATCTAATTGCAATGGGATTGTTGATATTTTTTGTTCAATTATTTTTCCTCTCCTCGACTATATTTGTATTTTTTCATTATAATAATTCTAATAAATTCGTAATTCTTACTTGTTAAGCGACTTATAATGATTAGACAAACATATTATTCTAACGTATACATATATTTTGCACACAAAATATCACAATTTAGATTACTATATAAATAAAGTTATGACATTTCATGTGAATAAAAATTATGATTGTCTAACTATTTGATAATAGAATAATAGCACTTGTGCTAATCTATTTGGCTTACTAATGTACTAAGATACGATAAAGGGTACCTTTTTTCCCTTATAATGGATTTTATTTGTTAAGTTAATGGGTACAATATTCATTGTTTCTATAAATAAAAGTTTAGTTTTTTAGGCCCCATTTGAAGGAATATCAGTGTTGTTGCAATTAGGGACTTTATTGTAGCTCCAAATGGTGGTTGATACAAGACAACAATAGGAAGGTACATAGTTACTTTTCATGGCTGCACTCGGGTGGTCAGAGTTTCCGAGACGAGTTTCTAAAATTCTTCTATAATTTTACGGACTTTTCTGAGTTGGCTAAAGAAACTTTTTCGACTCCATGCTCATTGGTACAATTATTTTTTTATTCGTACTTTATTAAATCTTTAATCTCTATTTTAATTCATATTATAATTATTTCGTTGTACTATTTGCAGATGTGATTAGGCGAGTTGTCGGTATAAACAAAGCGCAGAGGAAGAAGACTTTTGAGAACATCATAACACGTTTTGCCGAAATAACTTTGAAGGACATCAAGTAATTTTTATATAACAAGAGCAATAATTTTTTTCTATTTAGCAAGTTCTTTTTATTTAAATTATAAATTAATTTAATTTTTTTACTTTATTTTATTTATTTGTTTTAAATGTTGAGTTGAACCAAACTATCTTGCACGTTGTGGGAAGAAAATGTTGATGAAATAATGCCTTCAATACTAAACAGTGAAATCGAACCTCTTGTGGTTATTTTACAATTTTGTCGTACCAAAGTTGTTGGAGGTGACTTTAATACTGCTAATTTCTTTATATTTACTTTTATATTTCAAAAAAATTATATTTTTAATATTTTTTTTTTCTTTTTAATCTATTTACAGTATCAGTCAAGGTTTCAAACACCTTTCATATCAGAAAGTTAACTGTCGATGAGACTGAAAGAGAAATAAAGAGTTTGTTGCAGGTGAGTTAATTATACAACTCATATATAATTTATTATTTATTATTTATTATTTATTGCTATATAAATATATGAATAATGTTATATTTATTTTAATAAGTTATTTTGTATTTTTTTTTCACAAATGTTGAAGTTATAGGATGCACTGAAATTGCAAGGTCAAGTGACCATGTCGAAACAGAAAACATTGAATTTTCAGTCAAGACTATTGACTTCCTTGAGACGTGTGGTCAGGTAAGTAAACAAAAAAATTATTAGATTACACTAATTAATAAATTACATTAATATCGTAATTATAATATATATATATATATATATGTTTACAAATATACTGATAACATATACAGGTTGGCAGTTATTGCTTTTGTTCGCTCATTGAGTCGTTCACTTATGAGTGGTGAGCGCAGATGTCCCAAAAAGTTAATGTTGGCGGGAAAAGATTTTATTGGGAAAAATGTGACGACTTTTTTTACGGTGGTGTCTAGCAGTAAGTTTTATTTTTTTTTTCAATTTGTTACATTTAATTTTGAAAATAATATAATTAAATACTATTAACTATTAATTATTAAATAACTATTATTGTTGTCCTCATAGGTACAAGATTCAAGTTGAAGTGAGTGATGAAACAGGAAAAGCTTCTTTTATATGTTGGAATAGAGTTTGTGAAAAACTGCTTGGCAATTCGTGTCATGAATTGCGTTCAAAATACAAAGGTCTAATTCTATACATTGAATATTAAAATTTATTTAATTGTACAGTAATTATAACTAGTGTTAGTGTTTGTGATTTAGTTACGTTGTTAGCTTTTAGTTTTAGTCTTCTGTTTAGAAGTTCGATTCTCCTCTTTAGAGAGTGTATAGTTTGTTTGGTTTGTGTGTGCATTTGTGTAAGTTTCTAGACTACTCTCATATATGCTTCACCCTTAGATTCAATTGGATAATCGTTTTGTTATTCTTACTTCTATCTAGTTTTGTAATTATGTGTTTTTTTAATCTATCATATCGTTTTGAAAAGAAGAAAAATAATCACATAACTTCAAAATGGACTCTTTCAAAAGTCATTATTTTTTACTCCTATAGAATGAACTTTTTAAAAACACTGCACTCATGTCCATTTGAAAAATGGTTCCAATCAAACTTTTATTCTTCTTAAAATTTCCATTTTTTTTTAAGAATAATTTCAACCGTGCCACGGAATGTATAATATTGAAATATCTATTGAAATTACTACTAGAATCTATTGCTATGAAATTTAAAGAATTTCTAATACTAAGTAGCTCGAGCGTGGTTTTTGGGCCATCAACGTAGACCCTCTTGTTGGGTTGGATCGCCAATCGGCATCGCCCAAGTCTTTTTTTTTTTTCCGTATACATTGGAATTAAATTCAAATCGGCTTAGAGGACTTTTCACATATATAGAGCTACACTAGCAAAACAAAAATTGCGATTTTCTCTATAGCGATGAATGTTTCATTTGAAAGATTGGACGACTCTGATTATATGGATGTCAGAATAGCTCTATTGTTTAAATAAATATTTGTTCGAGTGTAATTTGGAGATGACAAGTAACGCTTCACCATAAAAGCGTCATTAAGCAAGATACACCATGAAAAGAAAAATGATTCTGCTCTCAGTCAATTGAAGCAAATCATAATTTATCTTCAGTTAAACCTCAAACTACTGCATTTCAAATTTATTTCTGGAACATATTGCTAATTAAATTACATATCATGAAGCTCATAAGAACCGAAATTCATAATAGGCTATTTATTTAACTACTGTACTAAGCTATGCTTTCCATTCCAATTGAAACCGAATTCTTCGCTTACGCTTTATGCTCGTCAAAGCGTCTAAAACCGACTCCCACGGCAGACATGTCCACTCAGCAACATCATCATCAAAAAGCTCAACATTTACTTCCTTTAGATCATGCAAACTAGACATTAAATGGCTCCCGATCGAGCATTTCCCGTTCATTCCCTCAAGTAGTCTCTTCACTAGAAAATCATTGTTCGTGTTCCTACTAGAGTTGGACTCGGGAAGTATGTAGTGAGCTATGATCTTAGGGCGACAAATTCGAAACAAACCATCAAAAAGAACGTAACAAGTTATGGACGACAGACCATCCATATCGACCGTTAAACTATCCACCTCAGGTAATAATTTCTTCACGCCTCCAAACTCGTCCGCCTTGTAATCCAAAATAGTTTTGGAGCCGATTCTGAGGGAAAGATGAATTTCCTTATGTCCCAACCCAATTAGAAAACTTTGAAGCTTTCTGAACCATGCAGTGGTGAGACCACTATTATTCGTTATAGTTAGGCGAGATGCACAATCCCTCGAATTTGACGCAAAAGACAAGTGATAATCGAGCCAATCTTCGAACATAAACTCGCGGAGACCCGGAACATCAAACTCGATTTTTCGCTCCGGATGATGATTGTTTAAGTGAAAAAAGTTCAAACGCTCGAGCGAAAGGCTCGAAATTCGTATATCTTTCCGGTTTTCCAATATTATTTGATGTAGGGTCAAATCTGTGAGGGAAGGAAATTTAGAGGACAGGTCACCGGTAAGTAAGGTACAGATATTCACATTGCAAAGCACAAGATGGGTCAGTGTTGGAGAATAGATGATGAGATTGAGACGATTGAATCTGAGATCATATAAATTCATAAGAAACTCAAGAGACAATTTCTTGATGGAGGGGCAGCCGGAGATTATGTTAGAAATCGAACAGGAATTGATCTGGACATCGATTAAACTAAGGGATTCAAGCCGAGGACATGTTACCGGTTGATCCGGTTTCAGGTCGATTTCACAAGACTAAGGATAATTGGATAAGATTTTCAGCTTCAAACACCACATTAGGCACAACAAAATTCCCAGTAATATCGAGAAGAGTTGCGCCCATACTCAGTGCTTTTGGGATCACTTGTTTAAAGAAAAGAAAACCATCGCCCCGTGGAATAATATCCGGAGGACAGAGCCTGAAACTCTGGATCTTTAGTTTCCTTTTCTCGTACCTGCGAATGGTCTTTTTCACGGACGTCGAGAATTTATGAAAGGGGCGCGATGTTCTGAAATCCCAATCGTCAAACTCGAGGTTTGGGCGGGTGATGGCTGCGTGGTGCCACGACTTGGAGAGAATGGTCGTTCGAGTAGCTTCCTTTTCGGTGAGGAAGGATTGAATGCGGTGGACTATGTGCTCCGGTAACTCAAATTCTTCATCCATATTATATATCTGCAAATTGTTAGTTTATGATTATTAGATGATCATATGATTGGGAGGAATAAATATTATATATTAATGGCTAGTCGAGAGGCATAAATCGGTAAGGAAAAGGAAACCAAACCTGAAAGGAAAAGGTAATTTGCTGCGATTGGAAAATATGTTTAAAGTTAAACAAAGGAAAAAAATAATATATGTTCATTAAGGAAATATGTTCCCGGTTAAATAAGGAATAATAAAATAGGAAACAATTGGAAAAAATTGTCTCGTCATGTGATACTTTTACACCAAAATAGGATACTTGTTTCCCAGCCTGTGAAATCGTGTTACTAATTTTCACATAAAAATTTCTAATTTTGCGAATTAAAAATTGAAGTTAATTAGTTAAGTGATGCAGGATAATATCTATTATTTTTTATATTAGAATATTTGGTAGTTTAATTATTATTATTATTATTATTATTATTATTATTATTATCATTATTAGCATATAATATTTATTTGTTATTTATGTTTAGTCTTGGTGAACAAGTTACTCTTAGGGTTTAAGAGCCTTATATAAAAGACTGATTTACATTTGTACAGTGCGTGTGACTAAATAATTGCAAATCTACAGATTTCCAAACTTATTTGCATATGTATGGCATTAATCCTTTTTAATTATGTAAATACTTAATAATTAAATGATGGATTACAAATGGTAAGCAGTTTTTACATCCCGTAACTGAAGGGCAGTTAATCTAAAAATTGTGTATAAGATAAATGTTATGTAAATAAATAAATAATGCATTTTACTCCGTCATCGAGATCTCTTCCGTCGCCCACATCTTCTCCATCTGGAACTTCTCCTCTGCCGCCCGTCGACCCCTGCACCTCTTTTGCCAGGCGTCACCTTCTCTCCCACCACCGTTCGCGGCTCTGCCTTCTCCCTTGGCATCGGCCTCTCTGGGTCCCCTGGCCTCGCCGACACCCTCTTCGGGTCCTCCGACGGGACTCTGAGGGTGGAGATTTTGAAAACTCTAGTGAATGCAGCTTCGTCTATGGACAAGATGTTCTCACCGACTGGAATGTCGACAGCTCGACGGGGGTAGTGGCATGCCTTTTTCGGAGCGAAGGGCCATACGGGGTGGTCGAGAAGGATAAAGCAGCAGCGGTGTTGGCAGATGATTGGGTTGAGAAGACGTTATAAAAACACAACATATACTGAACATATACTAACTAGATAAATGTGGTTAGATAAATGCTATGTATATAAAATCGTTACATACACTGAATATATACTCACAATTATGGTTAGATAAATGTTATGTATATAAAAAAGCAACATATACTTACTATATATAAAACATATACTGAAAATATACTGACTATAAACATAACATATAGCATATATGATGAAATGTTATTTAAATAAAAACACAACATAGACTGAAAATATACAAACTATAAACACAACATATACTGAAAGAATATTTCGAATCCGTCTTGCGTAAGATTTGACGCTCGTTGTTAATCCTTGCATAAAATATACTAAAAAATTTATGATGTGATCTTGAACATGATTTGATGTTCGTCGTTAAGTCTTGCACAAAATATTCTGATGCTCGTGTTCGCTTTTTCGCCAAAGGAGGATTCATCGATGTCGCCGAAAATATTTGCACTGTTCTTCGCCACATTTACTATGCAATTTTTTTAACTCTCTTACTTTTGATTTATTATGGAATTGAAGCTTCCTTTGAACAAGATTCCGGCCAAACCTTTGGTTTAATGTCGCAGAGATGAGAATTGGATCTTGGTGGTGGGACTTCTTCTTCACCACATGGGGGTTTGACAATTTTCGCCATTTGTTTGCTATTAGTTCTCGTGGAAGAAGATAATAGGGAAAAAAGAACATGTCGATTTTCAGAAACTATAATGTCAAAGAAAATTGAATGTAGAAAGAAAGAAAAATCGGAAGTGACAGATGTTCAAATCGGGATTTCATAAAGTAAGAGCAGATGAATCAATTTTATGAGAGATGAAGAAGAAAACACGATGATGAGGAGTTAGAGAAGATATCTCACATCCCAGGAAATCCTCACAATACCCCATAAAACTCGACCTACCTCAATTAAATTGTTTAAAAAATGTAATATTCAATTTGTTATTTTAGTTTATGTTCGTTGATAGTGTAATTTTCTCTATATAAAATCCCTCTTTCGTTATCTTCAGTTTATCTTTCCCATGTAAATTGCAATTATTTTAGTTTATGTTCGTTGATAGTGTAATTTTCTCTATATAAAATCCCTCTTTCGTTATCTTCAGTTTATCTTTCCCATGTAAATTGTGATAGAATACTGAATATTCAAGTGACGAATATCATCTTAATATTTATCCACTTTTAACTGGCACAAAATTCACAAATTCTTGTGTGCTGCATTTTAATCATTGATCAAATCGACATGTCATACTTTGTAAATAACGTACATACTTATACTATCAAATGTCATAATTCTATTCATAGTGTATTAATATGTAAATTTATTTAAACAAAGTAATGTCGGCGTATGAGAAACCCTACTCTTTGAACCAAATCCATCACATAAACAACTGCAAAATGTTAAGAGTTGGGAGTTTTTCTATAATCAAACCCATCAACAAAGCCATCATCTCTGCTCCATTGTACCAACAACAGTCTTCTGTAGGGTTAATTACTGTTTAGTTCCAATGGCCATTGAAATTTTCCAGCTTTCTATATGCGCTTTTGCTTCCTTTTCATCCCATGTGAAAATCGAGAATTATATATCCTATACTAAATCTCAGAGCAACTGATTTAACATTTACCAGGCACATATATACACACACACACAAACTACTTACGACTAATCTTGCTGTCGACCCATCACGCTGTAAAAGCAGCAATTGTTGTAGTAGAAAGCTTTTTCCTTGTGATTCGTTTTCTATATCTCGTAGAAAGCAGCAATTGTTGTAGTAGAAAGCTTTTTCCTTGTTGTAGTAGAAAGCTTTTTCCTTGTGATTCGTAAGTGCTCGTGGGGAAAACGAGGGTGTGGAGAGTAGAAATGAGATATATATTATAAAGTGCACCTTCTCCCTTTTTGTTCTTCATCTCCAACATCCATTTCCCAATTGTGCATTCTTTGTTCGACTAATTCCGATTTTTGTTTTGGACCGTCCCCAAGTCAACAGAACAGCCTACGACGCTGCAAAGAGAAAGTTTAAAGAAAAAATAAATAAATAAAAACAAAACACAATAGTAATTTGGATTGGAATCATAAATCATAAATTGAATTACAGAAGTAGAGAAATTATAAGTGAAACAAAATAGTAGGTTAGATTCCCCAACAATGATTATCAACAGGTTTCGACTGATTAGAGAACAAAAGTTGATTGAACAAATAACAAGTATGTTCCTTGTCTAAATTGCATACTTGAGGGCTTATACGTTGAGCCAAAAAAAACAAAACTTAAGGAAGAGGGTTTTGTAACATTTTATGCGAAAAGCTGTAATGTTGAAACAATGACAGAGATATTTTTATTGACTACAAGCCAGGCAAGATACAGTAGAAGTCCCCCAATCTGCCAAAATATGGACTTACGTGAAACTTAGACTCTCGCAGATTTTCCAGTAACTCGGCTATCTCGAGCTGCTTCGTCACGGTTGAATTCAATGCCTAAGCACACACACAAAACCATTTGGACAATTTTCATCTCTCAAATACGTATATATACATGACCAAAGCAAACACGATTAATAATTAGTTAATTATACTACTTACCCTTTTCGTTTTCTCAAGGTCAGACTCTACTGACTTTATCCTGTCAAGAGATCTATGAAGTAACTGGTCTTTCTCCACAGGGATTTGGGCAGGCTTCTTCACGAGTTCCTCCAACAAACACTCTAATTTCTGGAGGCGCTGAATGCAGGGAAGTGCGGCCTGTTCCTCTTCTTCTCTAACTACGGCTTCTGCTTCGACAGGTAAATGATCGTCTGGTTGTGGATCATTTTCCGGATATACGTTGGTTCGAGTCCTCCAATATCCAAAATGTGTATTCTGGATAAACTCGAAAAGCTTGATCACTATGAATATCAGTGTTCTAGTAATATACCGAATACCTCTCCTCACGACTTTATCCCGGATGGAGTCTAACCAATACATAACCAGGGCACCTGATCCTGATTCACAAATTTGGTATATCGTGATTTTAGAAGTTGTTCCGCGTTTGAAAAAGGGAAAATGGATTAAACGATGATAGTTTTATACTTAACCTATTTGAATGGATTAAACAAAAAGAAAAGAAACAAGATGTGGCAGTTTTTGCATTTATGGTTGGATCAGAGATCAAAATGCAAATACCTGATTGATCAATATTACAATAATCTACACAATCACGAAGTATGTATTATTATTACATGAGAACTAACCTTCAAAGCCAGAATTTCCATGGCCGGTCGAAGAATGGTCTTCCAGTCCTTGTTCATTATCACTATCTTTATCAGGTGGAGAGAAATATTCATTGCAACTATAGTAAATACAAGGATCTGATGTTCTGGCCTGTAGAAGGTCATATTAACAAGTTAATACTAGATACATATAAAGTTACGATTCAAGATCTTCAATGTATTATCTTTAGAAAAATAGGATACACAGGACACACAGTTTGCTATTAAACAAAAATAGGTATTATAAACATCTGATCAAGCTTACTTCTTCATGAACTGGGGCAAGTCGAGAAATCACCTCGCTATTTTGTCTGGTGGGCGAGAAAAGATCATCAGCATCTGATCCTGATTCTGCAAAGGATGTATCACCACATCTTGCCTGATCATTTAAAACACCACAGGTCATACACAAAAATGGTTTAATGAATTATAATCCAACTTGTAAAATCTTACCATCTTCAGGGCCTGCATTTTAAAATAAGAATCAATTTTCTGCTGATCGCTGCATATTTTGGCAACACGGCCCTCAAAAGTTGTTTCCGCATTATAGACAAGCTACAGCAAAGAAAAGAAAAAAAAAAAGAAACTTTTTAGAATAGCCTCGCAAAACAATGTCAGTCCAATTATATAAACGAGCCAAATGAGTAAAATATGCACCTTCATAATTTCAGGATCACTCCACGGACCCTTATTAGCCCTCAGGCAACCTCCCTCAACATTACATGAGCATGATCCACCCAAAAAATCAGGCAGTTGACTGGGGAAAATACAAGAAGTTAGATGATACTTTTCACTTTCAAAATATAGGTTGTGAAGGGAAGAGTTGAACAAACCTTGGATCAATGACTTCATGTAGCTTCCCCAAAGATTTAGGGTCCAAGACCTGCGTATGTAGAGAACACAAGTGCAATCAATTGGTGACGCAGTATATGAGAAAAACAGAACAAGAGCCTCTCGAAAGAATATTAAATCCATTACATGAATTTTTGCGATAGTTTTTGGATCCAAAAACTTCTGTGCAGCAGGCCAAAGCATCTTCTTAAATCCAGTTCCAGCATTGACAACGAACATGCGGTGGAGTGTCTATATTTAACCATTACAAGGAAATAGGTCATTTGTGGTTTGTTATTCATGGTTTGGAAATGGAGAAAAAGGATTAGATATTAGCAAAAATTACCTCTGGGTAGTAATTATTATCAATCTTTGCCATGGCTGACAATAGACTAGCAGCAGTCGCTGTGAAATTCTTAATCCCCTGAAACCATTGATGATGTCATTTTTATAGAACACATTTTATCACTGTGTATCAAAGTACATGAGAAAGAAATACAAGCTAAGTAGATCAGAATTTGAAACTTTCCCCAAGTTCCATTGCTAATCTAATCGAGGTCACACAAATCAAAAGGCATGAAACCTGGAGTAAATGTTGTTTTTTCTTAAAGATAAATAAGAAACTACCCCTAGATTTACTAGATACAGGAATCAATATTATTTAAGGACTTGCATCACAGATTTAATCAACAGACCAGGCCTTGTACATCCAAAATTGTGGTTGTGGAACATATTCGCCTCTTAGCAGCAATGGAACATGCTGGGAACTTCTCATGTATAGCCTTCTCGAATTCTTGAACATGATACTTCAGATATCTTTCTATTGAAGTGAGGCGCATCAGTTTACTTGGATGAGCTTTTCCAAGCCTTTCAATATAAACTGGTCTTCCCTCTCTATCAACTCCATGATATCCTTGGGGGTAATATTGCAAGACTTCTTCCAGCTCCTCAAATTCGAAGTCCTGAAAATCAACCATTAGTGAACTGCACCCTATCGCAATACAAACTGAAGCCTTCCCCAGCACTCAACTCCGAAGTAAGAAAAGATACAATATTTCAGACACACTAGTAAAGGAAAAAAGAGTCATCTGAAAATTAGAAATGGAAACCTATTGAGAGATAGCAGTTCATTATAAGAGAAAACCACTAAGAACTCTCTTGCATACATTATTGTTGTGTATCATTTACCTCCAAGATAGTATCTGCTCCAAACTCCCTCCTCCAATTAAGCATTTCTTCCCACATCTGGAGGGTCTTGCCGATATCAAAATCTCTAGCTTTCAGAAATCTGTGCATCACAAAAAAATAAATAAAGAGAAAAACGCAGGCTCTTGATTTAACAGGCAAAAATCATAGAGGCTCTTCTTGATTCAACTGGAAACAAAAAAGGAAAAAAAGAAATTGACACACACTTCACCCCCTATTTCTTGAAGCCCTGGAGAATATATCACTATAAGTGCAACTAAATGCCAGCGAATGCTGAAATTATTATTACTTAAAATTTGAATCCAAATTTGGTAACGACGTAGAAGATATATGCCTAGAGTTCTATCTCATCCCAGTATCTTTAAAGAGGTACTATCACTTGAAAATCCAACAGGCAAAAAGAACTACCACAGCAAAATCCACGACTTCATATAAAATGAAGGTCTTTTACTATAAACATCCGCCAATGATACTCTCACTGGTGAACCTCCTCTGTTGATGGAAATTAAGCAAATGCATCGGGGATGAAGAAGAATGCATTGTCAAAATAAAAATAAAAATAATAATTATTAAATTCACCTCAGTAAAGTATGGTAGTCATCAAGCTTAACTGGCAATAAATTCCTGTCAAGAAGTTTTTGGCGCAGGTCACAGACGGCACTCTCCTCTCTCGGGTCACGAACGTCCTCAATTGAAATGGAAGGAACTCTAAAATCAACCTTCCTCTTCCCCCTTTTCTTGAGAGAATGAGTGAACTTGTTAGAAGCGTTTATGGCCTTCTTCTTCAGAAACCTGATTTTTGATCTCCTTCTTTCGTCTTCGGAATTCTCATCATCTGATTTTCTCTCTCTCGTTTCATCAACCAATTCTATTCCATCTAGAGAAGGAATAGGAAGACAACGTAAACAATCTGTGAGTTAAAAGTTATCCCAGGAAATTATCTTAATGACAAAGATAGATGTCCTGAGCATTTACACACCTGACATATTGGCTGGGTTTAGAATGAAATGGCTAAGGGTGAGAAGACTTGATGTGGCTCCCAAAAAAACCACATCAAACTGTACTGCATAATCATGTAAAGTGGATTAGTTTTTCATATCAAGTATGCAGTCCAACAGACATAAAAATTGCATAGGAAAATCGTGTGACACATGTACAGAAAAAAAAAATAGAAAAAAATTAAAGTCCATTTCACACAATCTTTATACATAAATGGGTATTCAACACACACACATTTGAAGTTTCAGACTTCAGTTAATAGTCTGTAAACTCAATATTCAACAAAAGCATAAATCTTTACCATGGATGTCAAGTTCAATCATACATTATAAATTCTTAACTATCTCTAATTACAGGTACTTCTACCTCAAATAACAAGATCCAGCTAAATAACAAAAATCCAACATTAACAACAATT